AATACTCAGGGAAGAGGGAAGAACATTCAGAGTTGGGAACAGAAAGTAGAGATTTCCTTTAGTTCTAAACTATAGGAGATTTCTTTATATTTCCCAACTCCAGGCATCTCCCCAACTATGTCTTCTCTCCCTTCCCAGGTTTCTGTGCATCCTCTCACATAAAGTTGGCAGGAAGACAAACATCTGACCCTAAAAGGCAATTATTGGCGTGTTAGATGTGACTTTACCATGGACAGATCTAATTTTTCTTCATGGGAATGATGTTATCTTCCTACACTTGAATTTTGAAATTATTTTCTATGAAACATCAAAYCTATTCAAGCCATAATTCCAAAAATATGTGTGCTTCTTTAGACTTATGATTTGAAATTTAATATTTACAAATAATGCAGACTTTATCCTGAAACTAAGTATTTCCTTAACAATCACTGCAATCCACAGAATAAGATAAAAAWAATCTTCCCTAGAGAAATTGCTTGTAAAATCAAAAAAGTATTAATGATGCAAACATATCAACTATGTAAATAAGAAGAGTTATATCAGGTAATTAAAATAGAAAATTTAAAAACCAATGCTATCAACTATGATATGTCTTTACAGTTGTATGACTCACATTACTTTTTAGCTTAGATAGGTTTTTCTTTTTATTTACTTACATTTTTGAGATGGGGTCTCAGGTTCTCTAGGGCTGGTTTTGAATTTGTGGGCTTGAGTGATTTTCTTGCTTCAGCCTCCCAAGGAGCTGGGACTACAGGTGTGAACCACCATGCCTGGCTGCTATTTTTTAAAAAAATTATTTTGAGATAATTATAGATTTATATGAAGTTGAAAAAAATAATATTACCTTTGCCCAGTTTCCTCCAATGATAAAATTTTGGATAACTATAGTATAACATCACAACTAGGAAACTGATAACGATACCACTTTTATTCAGATTGCATCAGTTTTACATGCATGAATCTCTCTGTGTGTATAATTTTATTGCATGTTTAGATTCGAGTGATCACCACCACAGTCAAGGCACGGACCAGGTTTACCACAAAGATCCTTCCTGCTGCCCTTTCAAAGCCATAACTACTTTCTTTCTGGCCCCCTTCCAACCCTAATGACTACTAATTTGGTTCTTCATTTCTAGTTATCATTTTGTCATTTTGGGAATGTTGTATTCATGGAAGAATATACTATTTAACCTTCTGAGATTGGCATTTTTTTTATTCAGTATAATTCCCTTGAGACCATTAGAGTTGTATCAATAGTTTGTTCTTTTTKTTCATTAGTATTTCATGTATAGATTACTACAGTTTATTCACCTATTAAACGAATTGTGGGTTGGTTCCAGATTAGGGTTGTTTAGAATAAAGCTACCATGAACATTTGTGCTCAGGTTTTTGTGTGAACATTTTCACTTCTGTGGGAAAGAGTGCAATAACTAGGCACATGTTTAGTTASATGAGACACTGCTAAAGTTTTCCAGACTGGCAGTGTCTTTTCTCATTCCTACCTGCAATATATGACTGATCCAGTTTTTTAACATCCTTGTCAACACTTGTTACCACTATTTTTAAAGTCTTAGCCATTCTGATAATTGTTTTGACATCTCGTTTTGACTGTTATTTGTATTAACCAGTGGTCAATGATGTTGAACATCTTTTCATGAGCTCATTTTCCATCTATATATCCTGCTCAGTGAAATGTCCATGGCGTTGGGTCTGTTTTCTAGTTGGATTGTTAATTAAAATGTTGAGTTTTAAAGCTGTCTCTCGTTATCTAAATATATCATGTTTTGGATACACATCCTTGCAGATACTTTCAGTCTACACTTGTCTTTTCATCCTCTGTTTACAGCATCTTTCACATAGTATACATTTTAAATTTTATGATAAAATTTTCCTTTTATGAATCCTGCTTTTTTTGGTTCATGTTAAAGAACTCTGCTTAGATGTAGGTTATGAAGATTTTTTTCCTAAAGGTTTTATGGTGTTATGCTTTGCATTTACATGTTCTGTTTTGAGTTAATTATTATGTATGGTGTAAGGACATGTCAAAGCCGCAGGATATGAGGTACTCTAATGCCATTTGCTGAAAGGCTACCTGTACTCCATTGAATTGCCTTTGATCTTTTGTCAACATCAAATACGATTTAATACACTTAGGAGGATAGTRTATTTTTACCTATTCCAATGTTCTTTCCTTCACCATACTTACTAACAGTTTGTATGGTCTTAAATCTCTGATTTAATAGCAGAAAGGCCTTATTTCTTCTTTTGGAATGATGAATGACCATTATGATGTCCACGTCCTGATGGGGCTTTGTGTGACTTTATTCCATCTTTTGCATTGAGGACGAAGCTTACCAAGTTAGAAGGCATGGCCTTTTCAATTATTGATGGGGACAGTTTTCCTCTCATGTCAGTTTGGACAAACATCACTAGTTTGGAATATGCTGGGTTTCTGTAAGCAAAGGAAAAGTTAAGATAAATAATTTATAGATTTATCTACTGAATTTGCCAGTTTATGGAAAGCAGGATTCTTGTCTTATTCACCATGGATTCCTTTCATAGTGCTTATGATAGGCTAGTTACTGAAAGAAGTGGCGGGAGTGGGGGGTGGGGTGGAGGGGATGATAGAGTGATTTGTAGTCATATTCTTTTTTTTAAATATTGTTTTAGTTGTAGATGGACACAATACCTTTATTTTATGTGGTGCTGAGAATCAAACCCAGTGCCTTACACGTGCAAGGCGTGCACTCTACCACTGAGCCATAACCCCAGCCCCTATAGTTACATTCTTATAAATAAAAATTTTACTTAAAAATATTAAGTACTTAGAAAATATATTAAAATCTTCAACAGAATATATATTAAAATCTTTAGCTTTAGGCATCTTTTCCTTTTTGTCATTTTATTGACTTTTAAAAATAATATGCACATAATTTAAAAATTATATGCATTTGTCAAATGTGTATATATATATATATATATATATACAGTTTTTTTAAAAAAATGAGACATATTTATTTTTCTGCAACTAGTTTTATTTTCTTCTTAATAGAATATAGTGCATTTTCATCTGCATTTTTACTTATAGATCTGTTTAATTTTTTCCTATGGCCATCTATAATATTTTATACTCAGTACTCCTTTTATAGACTATCATTTAGGTTTTTTCTTACTTTTTCTACTATAAATAAAACTGCAACAAAACATCTTTGTGATGTATCCAGTCACACTTTTATTAGTACTTAGAATATCTGGGTTGATCATTTAACATTTGGATGAGCTATTTTCAAATTGCCCTCTAAGAAGACTAGTATTTATAATTGTTTGTTTTGTTTGTGGTGCTGGACGTTGAACCCAGGGCCTTATACGTATCAAGCAAGTGAATGATCACTGAGTTTACACCCCAGCCTTTTTCATTTTTATTTTGAGATAAGGTCTCCCTAAATTGCTCAAGTTGACCTTGAACTTGCAACCTCCCATTCTCAGGGTCCTGAGGAGCAAGGGTTACAGGCATGAGTCACCATGTTAGGCAGAGCACTAGTATTTTATATTCAACCCTGAGATCTTCAAACTGGGGTATGAGAATTTGAATACTTTTTTTTTTTTTTTTGCACTTGAGATTGAACTGAAGGGTGCTTAACTCCTGAGTCACATCAAATTTAGAATTTTGATTTTTAGTTTTTAGTTTGAGATAAGGTCTCCCTAAATTGCTCAAGTTGACCTTGAACTTGCAACCTCCCATTCTCAGGGTCCTGAGGAGCAAGGGTTACAGGCATGAGTCACCATGTTAGGCAGAGCACTAGTATTTTATATTCAACCCTGAGATCTTCAAACTGGGGTATGAGAATTTGAATACTTTTTTTTTTTTTTTTTTGCACTTGAGATTGAACTGAAGGGTGCTTAACTCCTGAGTCACATCAAATTTAGAATTTTGATTTTTAGTTTTTAGTTTAAGACAGGGTCTTGCTAAGTTGTTTAGGGCCTCACTAAATTGCTGAGGCTGGACTCAAAACATGTGATCCTCCTGCCTCAGTCTCCTGAGTTGCTGTGATTATAGGCATGTGCCACCACATCCAGCTTGACTACGTTTAAGGGAATAAAATTTCAAATTTTTAACTTAATTTGATCTCAGAATATGTCTTTGATGGAGATGTGGGCTTGTTGTTTCCCATGACCTGTTTAAAATAACTCTTTMCTTGCTTTACAGAACAAAGGCTTGTTTGTCATCCACATTGAAAAGTCCTGGATAGTCCCCTAGTACTTTATTGTGGCATGTGAACGTCTTCAGGGTGCTAATGAAAAATTAATTTATTGGAAGTGAGTTGAGAAAGTGAATGACTAATGATTGGATAATAAATATTTTCTAATATCCTCATTAAAAATATTTTTGACAGGTATATGATTCATGATATAGGATCCAGAAGGATTTCAAGGCATAGAATGTAATTTATATTCTTTTCATCTTAACCTATTTATTTATGTAAATAAAGTTTCTCATTTCTAAACCAGGCACAGTGGGGCATGCCTGTAATTCCAGTTACCTGGGAGGCTGAGACAGAAGAATCACAAGTTGGAGACCAGCCTGGACCTGCAAAGCCCTGTCTCAAAAAAATAAAAAAAGGCCTGGGAAAGTAGCTCTGTGGTAAAGTGCCCCTGGATTCAATCTCCAGTACCAGRGCAAGGGGTAGGGGAAAGGGGTTTCTTAATTCTCAGTTTTTTATTTATAAAATGAAAGTAAGAATAGACTTGGTATTGAAAGTTGCCTCACTTATTAGTAATATCCATTCACAGTTAAACAAAATGAGGTAGCAGAAGTCTGTCTTAGTTTGAAACTGAGCTTTACTATTATCCATGTGTAACCTTGAGAAAGTTAATCTCTGGGTTTCCACTTTAGTTTCTATGAACTGGGCATAGGAATATGRCATATTTCTGTGGACACTTTGAGGATAGAAAAGAGTCAATGTGGGGCTGGGTTTGTGGCTCAGAGGTACAACGTTCATCTAGCATGTGTGAAACACTGGGTTCAATCCTCAGCACCACATAAAAATAAAATAAAAGTATTGTGTACACCTACAACTAAAAGACAAATATGAAAAAAGTGTCAATGTATGCAAATTGTTTATAACAATGCCTGGAAATAGTGCAAAGTTTTTTTTAATAAAAAAACTGTTTCCATAGAAGTTTACTTTATGCTTAGTAAGCGTATGACAAAAGTTATAATTAGAATTTTGATTAATGTGTAATAATAACAACTTAAAAAAGAAGGCATTTTTAAAAAAACTTATGTATACTATGTTCACAGAAATAAAAACAAATTAAAAAACTTAAATCTATGTATTTTTGTAGAAAATTATGATAGGGTGATTAAAAAAGAATTCAAAGCCTAAAATCTATTCCATTAGGATGTGATTATGTGAGGGGAAGAATTTAATTTAAATTGAGGTTAAAGAGGACATAAAATTTCTGACTGCTATAGGTTGCATTTGTGATGGATAAGGGAATGGTAGGTTTCAAGTTGTTATGGTATTTAGAATCYATAAGATACATTTTTAAGGGAGTTATACCCTTTTCATAAATTTAGTCCTATGAAGAAATTGAATGTGAACTTTAAAACATGCAAGGGGGAATACAGTTTTATAAAATTCTTTTGGGCAATATGAAGACTGCTGCGTTAACCAATGTGTGAGTGTCCGTTTTCTCAAACTCTTCTCTATTCAGAGCTTAGACTATTTTTTACAATGCCTGAAATGGCTCGATTGCCAAGTACTTACTAGCAGTTTGTATGGCGCTCAAAACTCTATCTGAATTTACTGTGGATTCATACACATAAGGAAGCATTTCCAGTATTTACTAGCAAGTAATTTACTGCTGATGATATGTTTTACAAGTGACCTGCATGCCTTGTTCACAAATGTAGGCTGACCAAAATACTGGGCTTCATAGAAAGAGAAAGTAAAAAAAGAATCTTTTAAAAAAATCTTAATTAAAAAAAAGAATCAGTATCTTTCCCTGAATCTGTGAATGAGACTGTATATATCCTACTCCAGCAGGATGGGAGGCCAAGTTCCCACCCAGAGCTTTGGCCCCATGGTTTCTGCAGTGGAAAGTTAAGAGTGACAAGGTGCAAGAAGGGTGCTTGCCTGTGAAGCACACTTTAGAATGTATAATTTCCCAAATAAAATCCCTGCTGATAACAGATTAACTCACTGGTTTAAAGTAATACTCTTTGTTTTGTTCTCTCCTGCTATGGTGAATAAAATCTGGGCCATACATTTAAAACAAATGAGGGAAAGAGCACACATGATTTTTATTGTCATTTATACCAATGATTTTGTCAATTATTGTTAAAAAGTAGTTTTTTAGTTCTCCAATTCAGTACAGGAAACACTGAGGATCATAGGTCTAACAATTCGTTTTATTTTAGCTTTTATTGTATGAATACAAAGTTTTACACTTATTTTTATGTGACAATACCTTCTACTTAATAAGAAATCATTAGGCATAAATTAAAGCTTAAGGAATTTGTGAAATGATATATGTTAAAATACAGTTCATGTTTTATATTACCTCTTTATCCCTAGGCTGGCCACCGGTCAGCAGTAACCTATCTCTGATTTCTCCAGCTTTTCCCTTATCTGAAGGTACCTATTTGGATGTCTCATTGTATAGGTTGTCTGCTGGAGCAAGGCAGTCCATTTGAAAAAATTCCTTTAAGATAAAGCAATCATTGCTGGTAAATTTCAGGGGAATTTATTTYTAATTCACAAGACTCCCTAATAATTTATAGAAGTGAGTAATGGAGAAATGGAGAACATCAGGGAAAGTTTAACCACAGGGGAATGTTTGTATGTATTTGACTAATCCCATAAACCTCAACTTATATTTTACAGCAAATTGCCCATTCTGATCATACTTCAGATGAAAATAAGGTTTAGAAAAGTTGTTTTAGGCTGTTGGAATTTTTTTTTCAAATTTGTGTATGTGACTGCAATAGGAGCATAGGACTGTAGAGGAAGCAGATACTTAGACTTCAKATTAATCCTCACTGATGTTAGATCCAGGTTCCCACCCAGAAATAAGCAATTTCAGAACCATTATAATTGTCATTAAAATTGTAAATTGTAGAAAAAAAGTTATTTTAAAAATGGCACTTAGGGATAGTTTTTTTAAACAAATATTTTTTTTAGTTGTAGGTGAACACAATACCTTCATTTTATTATTTTTATGCGGTGCTAAGGATCAAACCCAGTACCTCACAGGAGCTAAGTGAGCGCTCTACCACTGAGCTACAACCCCAGCCCCAACAATCCCCTGCCCCCAACAGAATATGCTGGCACATGTTTCTACTGATGAACAGGAATACTGAACTAAATCACAAGTTGAACTAAAAAAAAACTGCTAAAATACGTAAATGCAAGTAACRCTTACTCTTTCAGAGGTGAACATACATAGCCACAAGGATGGTTATAACCTCGGACATAATTTGAAGATGGAGGATATTCTGGGAAATCCACACTTTTAGCTAAGAGATTAAAAAAATATTAAAATTAAACATAATTCACAAAGATAAAAACTATTGCCAGAAGCATATTTTAGAAATATAACACTTATTTTAATTTAGTTATCAATTATTAACATTAGCATTAATTTTATAGGCATATACATTTGCAATAGTATTTCTAAACATGCTGTTATCTTTTTGTTTTTAATTTTTAATTTTTTTAATTATAGATGAACAAAATATCTTTATTTTGTTTTTATTTTTATGTGGTGCTAAGGATTGAACCCAGCGYCTTACATGTGGGAGGAAAGTGCTCTCCCCACTGAGCCACAACCCCAGATCCCTGCTATTATCTTTATTACTTTTAACAGTTCTTCTTATATAAAAATTACTTTCTGATATTTGAAGCAAAAGAAGAAATAGCAAAAAGACCATTAATGTCATGGTTTGAATTATTTTTTGTTAATTAAAAAAATAAAATGTTTAAAGTGACTAGTTTAAAAATGCTCTTTTGCTAATTCCCTATAGCTAACTGCAAAGTATAAAGATTAGTAGAATTTGTTCTAGTAATTATACAGAAAAGTATCTAAATTGTATGTAAATGCAGACAGAAGTGATTTAATTATGATTTACTTTATGGCTATATATACTCTTTCTAAAATYTTTTTWAAAAAAATATGTTTATTTGGGGGCTGGGGTTTTGGGTCAGCGGTAGAGCGCTTGTCTAGCACATGTGAGGCACTGGGTTCGATCCTCAGCACCACATAAAAATAAATAAAATAAAGGCATTGTGTCCAACTACAACTAAAAAAAATTTTTTAAATATATGTTTATTCTACACAACTAAATCCTGTTCTTGTCAGAGGTGGTTAATTTTATTATGTGATTTGAACATAAGCAATCTGTTATATGGGAAATACAATCTGAAACAGGTTTAAAAGCCTATATGGTTGAATGAATTTTCCATTTTTTGTATAATTATCTTAACAGAGACTATTACATTGGCCTAATGGTACTTACAGAAGTAACAGTAAAATATTTTTCTCTATTTAAAATATGAAGATTATATTTGTATTTAGTTTTCAAAGAAATAAGTCTACAAACAGGCATGCATGTGTTTTTTATGAGGTACACAGTATGGTAGTCAGCACTTATTTTGGAAAATCAGACCAGAGGTTTTTATTTCTGGTTCAGCTGCTTATTAGTATGCAACTTAATTTCCTAACTGCTTAACTTCTGTGAACTTCAGTTTTGTCAATAATGAAAATGCATGCAAAATATTTAGCTCAAAGCAAGGTTCAGAGTAAGATAAATAAACACTAAGAAAATAACCCACAAGTATTCATCAAAAATTCATTCAATAGAAACTTCTTATAGCAAATTCAGAAGTGATTTCTGCACTAAATGACTGATTACCTTTAGTTGTTGGTTTTACCCTCTGTGCTTTTAAAAATTTCTATCTGATCACTAACAGAAATGGTCTGATATCTAAATATAGAAAATAACAGATTCAGACAAGACAGCATTTTTATTGTAGGTAATTGATACATTTTATGTTCTGTCATTTCAAAAATGAGACAAAAATATGATAAACATCAGCTCTTAGTGGCCTGCTGCAAAACAGAACAAAATGGGTTTGAGTGACAGCAATCATACTGGGCAGAGTAACTGAAACTTTGTTGGGAAATGCTAATTAAACATAATTGTCTCTATCCCCACAGTAGAGGAAACTATTCAGAAAAGAATGGTAAAATTAAATCAATTACAAAGAAAACCAGGGATCTTTGCCACTATTCTCCCAAAGTCTCTCCACCATAAGTTATTAATGTCTACCACAACTTGGTATGTTTTGAGTCAATAATGCAAGCAAGGAAATGGTTACACATTCACATTTTACAGAATGACATATTTGCAAAGGAGATACTAAGCATATATCAAGGTCTTCAGTTTTTTTTTTTTTTTTTTTTTTTTTTTTTTAATATTTTATTTTTTAGTTCTCGGCAGACACAACATCTTTGTTGGTATGTGGTGCTGAGGATCGAACCCGGGCCGCACGCATGACAGACGAGCGCGCTACCGCTTGAGCCACATCCCCAGCCCAAGGTCTTCAGTTTTTAAAAGAAATTAAAGCACATTTATGTAATGACCCATCTAGTGGAAATTTCTTCAATAGTTACTTCAATCAGTTACTATATATGGCCATTCTAAGAAATTGAAGTATAAAATTATATATCCAAAAATTAATTTTGCTTCTATGATTTAAAAAATGTATATCTTGAAGTTTTAGTCTATAGGCACCTCTATCTATGAAGTCCTACAGGGTTTATGCTGTAAAAGTCCAGGAGATGATATAATCATTGACTATTATATACATGACACCTCCTAAGCTGGGTGAAATGTATGATTTATCTACTTGATACATGTATGTATTTGTCCTACTGAGTAAATAAAAAATTAAAGGAAATAGCTGAAAATAAGAGTTTCTTCCTAACTGCAAATTAAAGGGAAAAGTTTTATTAATGACTCATTGTAATTCCAAGATGTGAGCAAAACATTTCAACTTACAACTGATAATGTTCATRTTCCCTTCGCAGCGCTTGATGTATACTAAGTCGATAAAGTCTCGGGGGGAAATGGAGCCCATGGCAAAACTTTGTGTTATGGTATGACATATAAATGTGTCCTGCAACAAATCAAATCACAAAGATTGCAAACATTATTTAATATTTACCATTTGTATTGTTCCCCAAGGAACTGTATTGCACACGTTGCATCTCTATTTGGAAAAAGCAAGGCTTTGCAGTTTTCAGATCATTATCATCAAATCAGCTTGCATTTTCAGTGTTGAAGGGGCATGAGATTTACAATAATGAGTGTAGAAGATTCAGGGAGTACTTAAGATTGTCTACTCTTTCAATTTTTAGATGCAGAAATTGTAGCCTAGCAGATTAAACCATATACAGGATAAGAGACAATTGTAGAATTAGAATCCAGGTTTTCTGATTCCTAGTTTGGTATTATTTTTACTACTCTATATTGGTCAGGTAATAYAGCAATTTATATTTACCAACCCATGCTATAAGGCCTAAAATTAGAGACCAATATCATGAACCACCTTGACATCTGGGGAAACTGGGAAGGTCCTGAATGGCATCACTGCAAGTTCCTCCCTTACTCTGTTCCTGCAGGTAAGCACCCCAGCCAAATACCCCTCCTTAAAGGACCAGCAGTTACCACTTATTCCTGTTTAGAGCATTTAACTTCCCTGCTGGCCCATAGAATTATTCAATTATTCAATCATAGCTTCCTGCAGGAACTTCACCTCATCCTCCTCACACTACAAAGCCTGCCTCCCACAGCCTCTATTTAAAGCTGTTCCCATGTTGCCCTGAGTGGCATTGTGTGTCTTCTTCTTGGTCTGTGATTAATGATTAATAAACCACTATCTATATCATTTGTTCAGTGTCAGGAAATATATATGTTTGGCCATCCCCATAKCCTTAGAGGTAGAATTCCTCCCTACCCAGGAAGTGACTAGCAGACTATTAAAACACTCATGGAAAGGATAACTAGAATTACTTATAGGAAGGTAAATTAATTTTGTTTGTGGTGTGATATTATTTATGACACTATGGAATACTGACTAGAGTGGGCATGGAATTTGGAATTAGGAAACCAATTGCAAATCCAGTAACCTTGGGCAAATCACATAATCAATCTTTCTGTTTTCAAGCTTTTTTTTTTTTTTTTTTTTTTTTTTGGTACCAGGGATTGAACCCAGGGTCACTAAGCCATTGAGTCACATCCTCAGCCATTTTCTCTTCTATTATTATTATTTTATGTTGCTGGGGATTGAACCAGGGCCTTGTGCATGCGAGGCAAGTACTCTACCAACTGAGTATATCCCAAGCCCCCAAACAAGATTCTTAAGAGGGAAAAAAACAAACAGTAACATAAATGGAGAATAAATTTTAATATATCACAGTAAGAATTGTTTTTCATTTTGGGTGCTTACTTTTATAGCAGTTTTAATGAGTGAGAGATCTGTCGTGTGCTGCATGAATGTTAAGAGTCCTCTACATTGCTTGTCTCCCCTTGTTTCTAGCTGTTTACCATCTATCATTCTTTCTCTATGTCATCCCCTCCTGATCTTTTTCACTCTATTTTCACCTTCCTGATCTTTTCTTCCATCCCCTTTTAAACTACTCACCTCTCACGTTCACTCTTCCTCTCACCTGTCTTCAACTTTCTACTGTGATCACCTATGTTTTTCTGTTCTTTTTATTATCCCTCTTCATATCTATTTAACTAAGATAATGTATTTGAAAGTATTTCTAAACTGCAGCCTTTTATGTAATGATACTTCTTTGCTTTATATTTTATCTTTAGTCCTCAGTGCCATATGCTGTTTGTTTGGAAGTCCTAATAGCAGGTATCTGCATTGTTCCTGTTTTGTAATGTAATATTACTAAAATATGTCTTGATTTCCATGCAGGAATGCTTAATTTTTGTTTTCTATGTCATGGAGGTAAATCCCCGAGAGTTCAGATCCCTAATAACAAAAGGTACAAGAGACTTTGCCAGATTCAAAATGTGATATGTATTTACAAACAGAATGATGTTAATTGTAATTAAACTCTTGATTAATAAGGAGAAAAGTTTTAAGAATTTTATAAAAACTTTCACTCATTTGAATCTATAAATACTAAATGTCTACATACATTGTTTCAATAAACAAATCAGTAAGATATAAAACTAAAGATGCATTGACACAGAAAAGTCTAATATTAAAAAAATAAATTACCGAATCAATCCTGTGTATCATATTGTATACTTTCAATGCTTTATCCCATGCAACCCTGTTTCCAGGTTGGTAGAGAAAATCAGATAGTTTAAATGTTGATTCTGGAATTATCCCTTCAACACGATATCTATAGTTAACAAGATAAAGAAAATTTAACTTAAGTTTAAGCTGAAAATAAGCTGSTATCAAATTTGAAGACAGGCAAATTTAAGGAATAAAAAACCTGAAGGTAATATACGTTGAGTATTACCTTATCTGAAATACTTGCAACTAAGATTTTGGATTTTTTTCAGATTTTGGAGTACCTGCATATACATAATAAGATATCTTGGGGGAAACCTAGTTGAAACACAGAATTCATTTACATTTCATATATACCTTATACACATACTCCTGAAGGTGATTTGTGTGTGTGTGTTGTTACTGGGGATTAAACCTAAGGCCTCACACATGTTAGTAAGTGCCCCACCACAAAGCTGCATCCCCTGCCCTTTTTATTTTATTTTGACATAAGGCCTCACTAAGTTGCCTAGGCTGGCTTTGAACTTGGAGCTTCCTGCCTCAGTCTTCCAAGTCACTAGGATCACAGGTGTTGAATATAATGTAACACAATATTTTRAATAATTTTGTGAATGAACAAAGCTTCATGGTATGAAGTTACCCACTCATGGTATCATGTTTTGTGCTCATGAAGTTTTACATTTGGAATATTTCAGGTTTCAGCCTTGAATTACAAATTTTCAACTTGTGTCAGCAATTTAGTACACTAACATCCAACTGGAAGTAGCAATGCTTATTTAAACGTGTACTGCAATAATTGTATTTCCAAGTTAATTTTTCTACTAATTTTGTTTGCAATATTTTAATGATTATCTTTTTTAAAGGGTTGCTTTTATTTATGGTTTTCTGAAGTCTTTCCACTAACATTTACCTGCTGTTTTTATCATAAGCCAATGATCATTGATGAGAAATTTGTGTGGTTTGTAACTCACGGCTCTGATTTTTATTATTTATTTATTAATTTTGGTACTGGGGATTGAACCCAGGGGCCCACTGAATCACTGAGCCACACATCCCCAGCCCTTTTWAAATATTTTATTTAGAGACAGGGCCTTGGTGAGTTGCTGAAGCTGGCTTTGAACTCAGGATCCTCCTGCTTCTGCATCACAAGCCACTGGGATCACAGGCAGGCGCCATTGCATCTGGAGTCCTGACATTTAAGAACGTAATATGGTCTAGAGCAGGGTCAGTAGGCTCTTCAGTAGAGGTCTGGATGGTAAATAATGAGCTTTGCAGGTCACATTCAACTAGTGTAGAGGTAAAGTGTAGTGTAGAGGTAAAGCATCCATAGATAACATAATGAATGGATATGGCTGTGCTTTAATTAAGCTTCATAGATTTTGAGTTTTGAATTTCATTAATTTTCACATGTAAGGAAACATTCTTGTTTTGATTTTGTTTCATCCATGTGAAAAATATAAAAGCCATTCTTAGTTTTAAGGCTGTGCAGAAATAGGCAGCATTCCAGATGTATTCTACTTGCAGTTGTTTGTCAACCACTGGCCTAAAGGAACTAATACTGTTCTGAGAGTAAATTCAAGCTTACCATCAACAACATGGRAAAATAAACCTTCATGTATGTTTGGCTGTATACCAATGAAATTAAGACAGTGTGAAAAAACTGAATTCAAGCTCAATATTAACAGAAGATTGACAGATGAAAATAAAGTCAGARCAGTGTGGGTCACACTTTCTCCCTTTGTCTTTCTTTTCAAAGCAAGGGAATAAGTTTAAGAAAAATCAAACTTCTAAACTTTTAAAAATTTAAATTTCTTCAGGAAGTGAGGTAAAAAATAATACTATTACTATAGAAAATAGTTGTTATATTTGTAAAACATKATTACTCTGAGCCTTTGCTTTTATACTTTGGTAAGCAAGGAATTCATTAGACTACTTCTCTGTATGTGAATTTTTCTCTAAAATTTTAGTTGAAGCCAGGCTTGGTGGCATAGGCCTGAAATCCCAGAGAATTAGATGCTGAGGCAGAAGGATTGCAAGTTTGAGGCCAGCCTGGGCAATTTAGTGAGACTCTGTCTTAAAGAAAAAGAAAAGAAAAAAGCCAGGCATGGTAGCATATGCCTGTAATCCCAGTGGCTGGGGAGGGTAAGGCAGGAAGACCACAAGTTCAAAGCCAACCTCAGCAATTTGGCAAGAGTGTAATAAGCAATTTAATAAGACCATGTCTTAAAATAAAAATAAAAAAAGTGCTGGGGATGGGACAACACAGTGGTTAAGTGCCCCTGGGTTTAATCCCTAGTACCAAAAAATAAAAAAATAAATAAAAAGGCTGGGGATGAAGTTCACTGGTAGAGTTCCCCTAGATTCAATCCCCATAAAATAAAATAAAATAAATAAAAATTGTTGGTTTCTAATTTTTTCTGTGAGCTATTCTCAAATTCCTTCATGTAAATGTTCCTTCCTTCAGATCAACAAAGTTTTTTTATTTTTGAAAAAGTATGAATTAATGTTAAGTAGGTGTCTTACTTTAAGACTTCTTTAAATCTTAAAAGAGTGAATCTCCAAGAAGAGACTGTATGGAGTGTTTTGAAAATTTATTTGACCCTGCAAATCATTTTTACCCTGCAGTGCATTTTGACAGTTTACATTTCTCCCAGAACTCTAGTTTGGCAAACCATATTGGACAACAGTATATATATCATAGGTATATAATGTTTATGTCTGGTTACTCATTCTAAATTCAAATGTACATGTTTCTTACTTTGATTATTTGCWGTTCTTTTAAACTGTGAAGATGTGAAGCAATGGAAAAATGTAAGTTCCCCTTGATTGGTGGTAGTCTCATTTTCTTGCTCTCCTCTGGGTAATGTAAACTTTCAAATGAGGCATAAAACCTGGCCAATATGCCCAACTTGATTTTCTTTGTTAGCACCTAAATATATGCCATAACTAATAAAAATATATATATATATATATATATATATATATATATATATATATATCAACAAGTATAAACTGCACCAATCATACTCTTTCTGGACACAACCATAGAAAATTTAGAAGAATCAGTGGGCTGTGATTGAAAAACGTGCATGCAAAATTAAGTTTCATGTACTTTTTATTAATTTTAGTTTTGAAATATAATTAAAGAAGGGTTTGACAAATCCACTGTGCAGTAAGCAGCCTCTAACCGCCCCCCCCCCAATAAACCCCACCTCCTGATATTGACACCCTGAGTAATCCCCTCCATTTTGAGTCAGGACTGTATGTGGTAATTCACTTAATATTGCAAATGTGATGGGATGTAACTTCTAAGATTAGGTTGTGGATTAAGTTGGCTTTTATCTTGTTTGCTCTTTCTATTTCTTGCTCTCTCCTAGATCCCTCACTCTGAGGTAAGTAACCTGTCATGTCTTTTTTTTTTTTAAGTTGTTGATGGATATTTATTTATTTATATGTGATACTGAGAATCAAACCCAGTGTCTCACACATGCTAGGCAAGTGCTCTACCACTGAGCCTCAGCCACARCCCAACCTGTCATATCTTAATAGTTCTATGGAGAGGCCCAGAGATCAAATAACAAAGAAGGTTCTAGCCAAGAACCATCAAGGAACTGAGGCCCTCAGTCTAACAAGCCCATAAGGAACTGAATTTGTGATACTATGTGAATGAGCTTGAAAATAGAGCTTCCCTTAACTGAACCTTCAAGTGAGCCCTAGGCCCCAGCTGACATCTTAGGGACACTTTTGAGAAACTCTCTGATATAGAGGAATCAGGCTAAGCTGTGCCTGGAAAAATATCTAAGATACTAAATTATAGTGTAATTTGTGCATCAATATATAACTGGTAAAAAATGCACATAAATTCCATTCAAAATGTGAGTATAAAAAGTTCTAATTGTTTAGTTTTGCAACAGTAAAATATCTCTGATAAAAAGTTTCAATAAAGCTTTGAAACAGTCTAAGGGAGGCTATTTGACAGGATCTAGGCATTATATATAGGACCTTGTTTAAATAAATACTCCAGACATATTTGTAGACTAAATGAACAACTTTCAAGGTTTCTTTGATGCATAGGTTTCTGCCTACATTGGTTTTGTCTGAAAGGTAATAAAAAGTCACATGATCCAAAATTTATTTCCTTGGAGGGTCTAGACTTGACTGTACTCATTCCTTGCATCATTGTTTCTAAAAGTGCCACTTTAGTCACTAATTATTTAGATAACAGGAAGGCAGTATTTTTCTCATAACTGTTAAAAATGAATGGGAAAAATCATACCAGCTTTGTCCAATAGTAGAAAATTAGATGTACAAGATACATTTTAGTAAGCAGTTCAAAGGAGTGGATTCTAAATGAAAAGGAATTCAATAAAATTTGGTCTTCTCAACAATACATGATGATCTGAAGAAACTGATGTGATATCATAAGCAATAAGTGAATAACTCTAAAGAAGTTAGAAAATGTCAGCACAATTTCCCTTAATGTGCTTGCATATGAAGTAGTAGGATCCTCAAATAATTCCTTAAAAGCAACCTCTAGAAAAAAAATTGCATGTATCGGCAAGAGAAATAAAATGAGGAAGAAAACTACTTTTTATGGTTCATTTAAAAGGAAAGGTGAAGAGTTTAGAAGACCATAAAATACTACTGCTAGCTAAAAAATACCAATGTGCTTTTATAGCAATTATTTCTTGAAGTGCAAATTTCCTATATTCATGAATTATTCACTAGAAGGGATTTTTTTTTTTTTTTGGTGGTACTAGGAACTGAACACAAGGCCTTGTACATGCCAGGCAAGTGCTTGACCGCTGAGCTACACACCCAGTTCAAAATTATTTATTTATGTTTTTGTGTGATTATCTTCAGGTGTAAAGATAAAGATGAGATGGTATGTAATTGGTTTATTATATTAATACTACATTTCAGCCTATTGACTAAATAATGTTTCTTGATTATTATCATATAATGTTGTAGTTAATGAAGCAGAATTAAGTTCCAGATAAAATAATGTCATTGAATTTAAAAAAATGAATGCAAATAGGAGCGTGTACTCACAGATTTCCGAGGAATTTTCTAGATGCCTTACTGGAAACAGTTATCTTTTTCTCAAAGGGGAATAAAAATCCAGAAATAAATTGTCAATTATAGAAAAAAAATATTTTTCTGCTTCATAAAAGAAAAATATATAAAAATATTTTTATAGTAAATTCTCAAAAAACAAATTCTTGAAATATATTTAACTTTTCTTACTGAAATTTTAACCACTTTCCAGCCGGATGTATCTTGATTGTAACTTAAAACTTCTTGAGCAGTTTGTTGGGCAATTGCCTTATAGTCCATCTATCTGTAAAGTTTTAGAAACAAATGATTGATAAGAATATAATCATATGAAAACTTTGTTTTCTCTTGTTAAGACAGGATCTCACCAAGTTGCTCAGGTTGGTCTTCAACTCATGGGCTCAAGAGATCCCCCTTCCTTACCTCCCAAGTAGCAGAACTACAGGTGTGTATACCTAGCTCACATACAAACTTTTAAAGTGCTACATTCTGGGGGCTGGGGTTGTGGCTCAGAGGTATAGCGCTCGCCTAGCATGTGTGAGGCACTAGGTTCAATCCTCAGCACCACATAAAAATAAATAAAGATATGTGTCCACTTCTGCCTAAATAAAAAAAATTAAAAATGCTACATTCCATTTTAATATAATTTCTATAATACCTGTCACCTAGCAATGCAACATAATTACTTGTTGATTGCATGCATGGGTGAATCCYTTTCTCTTTTATAATCTTTCAAATGAGAATCTGTGGTAATAGTAGGAAAAGCCAAACTTTTGCAAACACACACACCTGAATTAAATCTTGTTTCTGCCACTTATTTTGTAAAGCATGTTACTTAATATTTGTTTTTTAAATTTTCCTCTTGGTGTAAAATTGAGATAATACCTATTCTGTAGAATTAACATAAGGATTAGATGAGATTGTATTTCAGTGTCTGTTATATAAGAGTCATTCAATAAATCATTATTATTTCTAACACTGTTGTTCATGTGCTCTTGGGAATTGACTTTTTAAAAATGAGTGACAGTAACACTAGATGATTTGATCCTTTGTTTTCTGTTCACTTAGCTACAAACATACTGACTTCCTGGCTGTTCCTTAAATATAACCAAGCAACTTTGTACCTCAGGGTCTTTGTACTTGCTATTCCCTCTGCTTGGAAAACTCTTCTCCAGTGTGTTTACAAGACTGATGTGGTTTGATTGGTGTCTTTCTTTAAATGCCACTTCCTCAGAAAGAATCAGATTTAAATCTATTCAATTTAAACACATTTACTGAACTGCTACTTGAACTTAGGTACTGCAATGGACTGAATGCTTTTGTCTCCCTAGAAATTCACATGTCAAAAACCCAACCTCCAATATGATGTTATTAGGAGATGGGACTTTTGGAAGGTAATTATTAGTCATGAGGACAGAGACCTCATGAATGAGACTATAGTGTCCAAATAAGAAATCGCAGAGTTCATTTTCCTTTTCTGCCATGTGAGGACAAAGCCAGAAAGTGACAGCCGAAAGGTGGCAATATGCAACATGGAAAAGGGCTTTCACAAGAAACCAATCATGATGGCAGCCTCATCTCAGGCTTCCAGCCTCCAAAACTGTGAGGAACAAATTCATTTACTGTTTATAGTAATCTTGAAGCAACTTAAAGGGACAGCGGTAGRAATAGCAAAGAAGTTGAGTAACATAATGTTGTTCCTGTGAATTGAGTTCAGGAAGCTGTAGAATCACTGGCCCTTCTGCCCATCAAACCAGTTTTCAGTAGGGAAAGCTGACAGGTATGGTGCAAAGAATCAAAAACAGCTGGACTCAAATGCTAACCTTGCCACTTATCAGCAGCTGTATTTTTGAATAAGTTGCTTAATTTTAACTTAAATTTCCACATTTATAAGTTGGGATAATAATACTTATCCCATGGAGTCTACAAGGATTAAGTGCCTGAAACAATGAGGGCCTTGTGATAATTGACCAAAAAGGTTAGTGTCTTTTCTTAAAATGGACACACTTAACATCATCATTATTTTTTTTTCAAAACGCTGCCTCCTTGAGCACATTAATAAACCATCTTAAGAGTTTAATTATCATGTTAAACCTCTTCGAAAACTCCTTATGTTGGATCATAAATTTATTTTCTTGTTTAGTTCTCCAGCAAGGCACAACAGGTAGATACCTTTTTTTATATTAGAAAAGCTTTACTAAACCATTATAACCTCCTCTTTACTTCTAGTAGATCCTTGTTTCTTTACCTTTCCTAACAAATCTAGTCCAGAATTTTAGCAGTCATTGGGACTCTTCTCCAAATCCTCATAGAAACCTCCATATCTGTTAACCTGGAAGGAAACAAAGTGAAAGAGAATTACTTTGATCCATGAATTAGGTCAATATATTTGATAATTTCCTTCAAATAATCTCAGTGTCCTTCATTTATACTTTGTGTGTTTGTTAGGAAATTTTGCTCTATATGACCCAAGATAGAAGAAAAAGTTAGTACAAGACACTTTAAAGATACTGTTTATGAAGAGCCTTTAGAAACTAAAAAAAAAAMACAAAAAACAGATTATAAAATATTTAGTAGAATGTAGATTTTTTTCTGAATAGATTTTAATTAAAATTATGAAAGTAACTGTGGCATAAACTTTTTTCTCCCCTAACTCATCACCAATGAAATCTCCTCTTTAAGCCCAGTTTGGTCATTTGTCCTAATTTTTTAAGCTCATGCCATTAATTGTCCTTGGCTGATCCCTGACCTGGGCTTTTCCTAACATATAATTATTTTCTATCAGCGACTTACTTGACATTGATTGATCTAAAAATTTCAGATTATCACTAGCTATAAACTCCTGCAGAGACTGTCTTATTGTTTTCTTATCAATAACTCTTATCAATAACAATTTAATCTTAATTAAATTGAGTTTAATCGAACCACTAAACTGAATTTTGTAGCTTCTGGACTTTTATTTGCTAAAAGAAATGGGAAGGCAAAGTTTAGCAGGTGAGAGGGGCTAAGGTCTCGGGACGCCTCAGCCTGGGGAAAGCAGAAACAGCCAACCAGACTTCAGTGGTGTTACCTGGTGACATACTGGATGAGCTGGAAAGCGTTCAGACGGAKTGTTAGACAAGGACGTCTTCACCCATAGGGTCAGTGGAAAATAAACATAAACCAACATTGAGATGGCATCTTTTCCTGACACACCAGTTGGATGAACTGGATTCCTGGCGCCTCACATCCTGTCCCACCGTGTAGGTAGGCGCACACGTGCTGGTTTGGGGTCTTTACATCTGTCTGTATGAACTCCCTGTTTCTGGGCTGCCTGACTGGGCCCCCAATCCGTGGTGGTCACTGCCATTCTTCCCTGGGAATCAAGGTCCCCAAGGGGTTTGTTAAACCCCATCCCAGGCCCAGCTGCCTTCTGCAATCCTGCATCTGCTCTGGGTACCAGGAGCTGGCTGCGAGCCCAGGAGGGCCSGCTCCGCCGTGGGACCGGCGACCAAGGACCAGGACGAGGGGCCTGCCTCTCAGCGACAGGAACCCAGGCTGCTAACGYCCCCCAGTCCCCTCCCCACCGTTCGCCTCCCACAGCCCCGCGCCAGGGTCGGCCTAGGGGCCGCGCAGAGTGGCTGAAAAACGGCGGCGACTGAGGCGAGGACGGCGGCGGGGGCGGGGGGCGTGGGGCGCTGCGACGTGGACCGAGTCCAGAACCGCCCCCTCCCAACCCAGGGAGCAGACCCGGCAGAACTCCGCGTTCCGCGACCTAACGCCCCGAGCATCCCCGCCCGGGGCCCCCGCCCGCGCCCGAGCGCCGCGCACGCGCACCGCAGGCCCGCGCCATGTTGGGTCGGTTTGAAGGCGAGCGCGGGCGTGGCGGGCGCTGTGACGGCGGCGGAGGCTGCGGGCTGGGGCGCCTGAGGTGATGCTTTGTCGCGTCTCCTGCCTTCCGTAGCCGGTCTGGGCTTTCAGCGGAGACTGGTGGAAACGTGCGTTTTTTGAACTTCWTTTGGGTCCTTCGTGGGTGAGTTAGGTGGGGGAGAAGGGCGTCTTTTGGAGCGGCGCCCCCTCCTCGGACAGCCCGAGGGAAAGGCTAACGGGCGGGCGCCCGCCGGGAAGAGGGAGAGGCCTCGGGAGGGCGGGCGCGCGTGGGGACGTGGGGGAACGCCAGCGGGCGTGGCCGGCGGGAGAGGGTCCCGGGCGCCGCCGAGTGGGCAAGGGGCCCGGGCTGGCGCTTTCTGGGTGGTCGYCCCGGAATGCCCGCCGCGGCGCCCTGCTTTCAAGGTTTCGGAGTGAAAAGCCACTGAAGCCGGGGGCCGAGGACCCCCGGGCCGGGGTGTTGGAGAAATCGGGCGGAAAGTTGAGCCCCGTCGCGCGCCGAATGCGCGGATGCGGGCCCCCGCGGTGGCGCCGGCTGCCCGGGCTTTCCACGCCCCGTCTTCCTGCTGCAGAGTAGAGCTGCGTTCGCCTCCGGAGCTTCGGAACTGGGAGCCGCTTCTGGGCTTCTTAACTGGGAACATTCTCTGTTTTGCATCAGGTTTTTTTTTTTTTTTTTTTTTTTTGCTCTTAAGTCTCGACGTTCCCTTGAGCATGATGGACTTGCTTTGGGATATTCGAACTGAAGTGATTATGGAGGAAACGGTAAGACGCTCGGGCTTGGCTTCAAGTGCGTGAGATTCCAAATGATCCCGCGGTTGACGTGGGGAGCAGGGGGTGGGGATCTGGGTAGTTGAGGTCTGTTGCTCATTGGTGGAAGCAGCGTGGCGGATGCAGAGGAATTTATTCAAAGACCCTACTTTTGCATAGGTCTGAAAACTTTCCATAAAATAGAAATTAAATTGTGGATTCTCTTGTCGTCACGCTTGTGAATTAAAATGACATGGTGAATGTCATCACCCACTTACGAAGAACCATAACCCAATTAGTTAAGGTTTTGTAAAATAAAATCAATCGTAACCTGTTATATGTTCAGATAAGGCGGGGGGGACTGTCAGTTAAACTTAGGGAAGTAAATTTTCTTGAGTGCATTTAAGCCATTCTGTGGAGATCTCCCTATATCATGACATTTCAAGGATATGGAAGAGGCTAAATAGTCGTTTTCTTATGTTCTGTTGTCCGAACACTGTCAGAATTCTGGAAAGGCATGCTCTGAGACTGTGGACAGGAGGTGTTATTATAATCTCTTTGATTAAAACTTTCTATAATTTAAAGGCAAATTTGACAGTTGCTAAGATTACATTAAAAAGCTTTGTGACTTAAATATTTCCAAAATTATAGCCAAAAATCAAGCATACTGACTACAACATCATATCATGTTAAGTGTTAGACATTAATTCTTCTTTTTTATTATAGAAAATTCTTTACTTCTCAACAAATGTCATATCATGTTCTGAGTTAGTGCCTGTTCATTGTTTTTTTCTTGGGTTTTTAAATATAGTTCCTATTATTCCTGTAATAAGTTGTTTTAGTTTTAGTAATAAAAAAACTCCATCAAGATGAATACATTAAGTTAATTTCACATGATCTAAACTTATTTTGAAAGATGAGCTGAATCTGGTCAACATAAAAATTGAAAATAGGATGGTATTAAAAAAATAATGTTATTTTAGCTGGGYGTGGAAGCTGAGGTAAGACAGTATTGCAAGCTTGAAGGCATCCTGGATAAATTAGGGAGACCCTCTCTCTCCAAAAAAAAAAAACAAAAAAACAAAAAAAACTGAATGGTGTGGCTCAATGGTAGTGKGCTTATCTAGTGTGCAAGTGTGCATGAGTTTGATCCCCAGTTCTGTCAAAAAAAGGTTATTTTAGGAAAAGTTCAGATTGTTAGTTCATTCTGAAGTAAGACTTATAGTTTATTTATATTTTGTGTTCATTAGTCTTTTTTTGGGAAAATGAAGTTTCATCTTGGCATTTACAATATTGAAAGTAGATGTTTTTCTTTTTGCTTCCAATGGTTAATGACTTTAAAAATGTGTTGGAAGTTGGTAGGTACAGTTGTATGTGTCTGTAGTCTCCTCTGTTCAGAAGACTGAGACAGGAAGACCTCTTGGGCTCAAGAATTCAAGGCCAGTCTGGGCAACAAATTTCTTTTTTCCTTTTCATTGAGTACCTACTATTTGCAGTGAATGGTTGTAAGCTTATGATTTATTGTATATAAGGGAATGTTAGGTTTGTGATGTCATAGAATATGTCACCATTAGCAAACRGACTTTCATCAGTGGTTTTTAGGACTTTAAATGTGAGTATTCTTTCATTGACACTTCTCATGTATATTCTCAGACAACTTTTTTATGCATACTTCCAGGCACATAGTAGCTGCTTAATAAGTGTTTTCTACATCATTGATGAAAGAATTTGTAAAATACCAGGAAACCTACAATGCCTGAAAARGAGTTTCTATTATAAATAACTGATTTTATTTCTTAAAGAAAAATTTAAAGTTAGTGTATTTAGTAATTTTCTCTGTATATCATGATTATTCCTTTTAATTGGTGCCTTCACTGTTTGTTTTCATGTTACAGTTGTCTTTAAGGAAAATGGATAAAAGTAACCCATGTTGAGGAAGCCATGGCAAAATCAAACACAAAGCACAGAGTTTGTTCTCAGGAATCTTCAGTCTCTTCCCTTCTGGCAAGCTGCAATCTGAATGGTGGTAATTCTTCCAACTCTGATGGCCCTTTTCACTATAAGGATAAACTGTACAGTTCTGCTTCTCAGGCTTTGCAGGCCTACATTGATGATTTTGACTTAAGCCAAATATACTCTGATACAAGCACTGGAAAAATTAGCAGTGATAAGAGTTCTGCGAATGTGCCTCAATTCTCCAAATATATTTATAAACCAAACAATGGTATGCTTTTATTTGTTTTGTCTAATAATTTGAAGCATTTCAGAGATTGACTGTAGTCTTATAAAGTTAAACTTTTTTTTGTTATGTCAGAATAAAAATAACCTATAGTAAAAAAATCTGAATATTTTTGTGAAATGCTTGCATAATTTTCTGGGTCTCAGAAATTTTCAGCTTAAAAATTCCTCTTTGACCTTGCAAGGGAGGTTGATGAGTCTAAGAAGAGCAGGTAGCTCCTAACTTAAGTCATTTTACTATCTTATAATGGATAGAGTAGTAATGTGCTTTTTGGCTTTCATTAACTAGCTTAATGACCTTAAAGAGCACCCTTTCTAAGTTTATACTTGCTCAATTTCAATTGATAAGATAGATGTGTATTAGTCTTTCTGATCTATATCTTATGGAACAATAATGTTCAAAAGATAAAGAGTTTTCTTGATAAAACTTCCAGGAAGACAAGTTAAGATAATGCAGTTGCTGATAAACCAGTTAGCACTATATTGAGCGCTTACAGAATAGGCCTAGAATAGAAAAAGTTTGCATTAAATTCTCAGTTATGAACAATATTTTTCAGAAGAATAGAATTAGAACACCTGTCTTCTGTGTTGTAACCATGCCTTTGCAGGGTAAGAGAGAACAAAAATTAATTTTTCCACCTAGTTGAACTGCATATTTTTCTATGTTACAGCCAATATTGAATGAACCATGTTGATTTGATTGTATTAATTCATTGGGTATGTCTAGATGAAAAAAATTGAAAAAATCCTAAAGTAAAAAACATGGGGAAATTTAGGTGATTGGAGAAAAATGTGTAGAAATTAAACATTGAAGAGATGTGAGAAAGCAAGCATGTTCTGTTTTCTTAACCTGTATCTTTTATACATTCAATTAAAACTTTAGTGAGGATAATGAGGTGACAAAAACAATTCTCAGTTCCTTAATTCTCATTTACTGTTGAATGTTACTAAGTATAGATGATAAAGGAAGATAAATTGAACTATGTTTTATTTTTCAGCTTTTGAAAATCTTGATCACAAAAAGCACTCAAACTCCTTATCATATAGAAGAGAGATTGTTAATGACATAGATTCCATTAGCCTAACAACTGATGATCTGTTAAGACTTCCAGCAGATGGATTATTTTCTTTCACTGATGTTGGACCAGTAAAACTATGCAAGAAAAACAAGAAATGCACTGGAAGACTGGGTTCCTCGGCCATTAAAAAGCATCTGAATTTTCAAGATTCCTGCACTTCCATGGGCAAGGATAACTTAGTTACACGTGTTGTAGACACAAATATAAATGGAAAGCAATGTAGTAAACTAAAAAGCCCAAAACTTATGAATAGGACCAATAAATGTATTTTTGAATCATCTTTATCTTTTCCCAAGAAATCATCATTGAAAGAGAGTTCACAACACAGTCTTGAAAAGAATTATCCAAGATGGCTCACTAGCCAGAAATCTGACCTCAATGTTTCAGGGATAAGTAGTTTACCTGATTTCAAATACCCAGTCTGGCTCCACAATCAAGACTTGCTACCTGATGCAAGTAGTCAAAAGGTTTATAAAGTATTTAAAGAAGACCATTCTTCCCCTAGACATAGTTATCAGGCACAAAGAACTTCTCGGCTTACGAATAAGTTAGATTGTTGTGAATATTCTTTTGAGCCCTCAAATTTTTCAAATTACTTGAGTGATGATAAAGGATTAGTTAATGAATACAGATGTGATTCTGAACATAGCCAATGTCAGTATGAGAATCCACTTCTCTCAGGACAATCCAAAAAGCCATTCAGTGGTAATATTTTGTTTTTAGTTTTTTGTTTTTGATTTTTTAAACAAAAGGAAGAACTGAAAATTTGGACTAATATCTAGGATCTTTTATGTTTTATTTTTGCTGTAATGATATGTGTTTTTAGAATGCTTATAACCTTAATTTAAYGTAGATTCTTTAGGTTTATTTTTTTCCTCCCCTTTTTTCTTTGCTTGAAGTGTTACATTTGGTATAATTTGCTGTTAATGTCTTAATTTTCTTAAATCTTGTTGCCTTTGTGAGATTTTGTAGTGCTTTCCAATTGTTTTTGAAGAATTAATATAATATTTTTAAATTAGGTGACAAAATTGAACTGCTTATCCTGAAGGCCAAGAAAAATCTGGATCAGTGTACTGAAGAGTTACCAAAGTCTGTGGAAAAGGATGACAGTCCTTGTTCATTAGATAAACTTGAAGCTGAAAGATCATGGGAAAATATTCCTGTTACTTTGTAAGTGACAGTGGAAAAGCTGTTGAGTTTCCCAAATGAAAAATGCTGTGTGAACATCAGATTTATTTTTTAAATAACTTAATGGTAATTAATAATAACATTGTAATTCCTAGAATGCATCCTTCAGTGTTGGTTACTTTAAATTGCAGTGTTCATTGTTACCACAAGATGGTGTAATGCTTCATGCCCATAGGTACATTATGTAATTTCTATCTTTGTTACATATTCATTTTGTTTCACTGTTAAATATTGGTATATGTCAGTATGAGGGATTAGAACCTATATTTGTAGATAAAACAAATCTGTTTCAGATTGACAAATTATTATCAACCTGACATTAGGCTGAAACAAAATAGAACGTGAAGCAACTAAAGGTAGCATTCTTAAAGGAAGAATAGAATCATAACAGTTAATTGTTTTAATTGTTTTTTAAACAACTTTTTATTATGAAAAATTTCAAACAAATACAAAAGTAGAGGAATAGCATAATTAATTCTGCATTAATAATCACATCATCTTCAGTGATTGGGTGTGAAAATGTCTTTTTACAACAGTTGGTTGATGGATATATAAACTTTATTGGTAAACAATAAGGGAAAAGGCTACTTAAAGTGAAAAAAAAACTCATGGTAAATTAGTAATTGAATATGCCAATAAAGAAGTGCTTTTTATAAAGAAATAATGTTAGCAAGTGACATTTAAATTATATAAAAAGATTCTTAGATCTCTGAGTTCTTGAGAGTTACATTCTTTTTAGTGGCATATGAGTAACAAATGGAATGAATAGAGCGCTGAGAGTGCTCTTTCCTCTATTACTTAATCATTAAGAAAGAAATGAGTATTTATAGTAAATGTACCAGCTTCATAGAGAGTTAACACAGTGATTTTTGCATTACCTTTAAGTAGCAACAAATGTAGAAACTGAAGTTCAGACAAATTACCTAAGATCATATTATGAAATGGGATTGGGACTGTGCTCAGGAATTTTAATTTAGAAAGTAATCCTTTTCCTAGTATAATGTATAATCTATCCACATGTTAAAAACCAGTTCTGGAGGGGTGGTCTGTCCTATCACCTTGAAGTGGAAGAACTTCTAACTGCCATTTCAGTAGAAATTTATGGAGTTGTGGGATTTTTTATTATCATTGGGTAAATAGCTTTAAAAATCTTTTTATTTGTTTGTGGTGCTGTGGATTGAACTCAGGGCCTTGCACATGCTAGACAGTGCTCTACTACTGAGTACACTGACCCCCAGTCCTAACAATGTTTAATTGGAAAAATGTACTGCTCAATTTTTTTGGCAGAGGTCGGGGTACCAGGGATTGAACTCAGGGGCACTCTTGAGCCACATCCCCAGCCCTATTTTGTATTTTTTATTTAGAGACAGGGTCTCACTGAGTTGTTTAGCACCTTGCAGTTGCTGAGGCTGGCTTTGAATTTATGATCCTCCTGTCTCAGCCTCCCAAGCCGCTAGGATTACAGGTGTGCACCATTAGCACCCGGCTGTACTGCTCATTTTAAACAGTGAGTTTTTATGACTGTTCTGTGGTTAAGGGCTTATTCATTTAGTTGAGGACTTGTATCTTCAGTTTCTTTTTAAAGTTTTTCTTCAAAGCTTGAAAGGTGAATCAGGAGGACAGGGCGGGATTGGATTGGATTCTAGTATCAATTTAGGGAGAAGATAGAGGAATTACCATCCAACATTGATGTGAGTCATATTCATGATGGTTATTTCTTGGTGACCACTTGCATTTAGATGAAAATCCTTAAAATAATATATTGTATAATTTTTGGAATTTGGGAACTTAATTGCTGTTTTATATCTTTTCAATCCTGTTTAGCAAATCTCCTGTTCCTGTTAATTCTAATGATAGTCCTCGACAAACTTCAAGTGAAAAGTATGCTAAAGAGGTTCTTGAAGACTTTTTAAATAATGATAATCAGGTGAGTGAAATTAAATCTTGTTAACTTATTAAAAGAAGGGTTATGACTAATATATAGTTATTAATTTCTAAGTTCTTAGTGTTTTACAATAAGAATAGCCCAGATTCTCAACACACATCCATAAAACCGTAACTCCTTTCAGAATTATTGGTAATTTTATTTTAATATTCTAAAGTAGAAGGACCTTGGGTTGAAATCTACAGATAGGCTAAATTATTATTATAATGTTTGTTTGTTTCTGGAAAACATGTAAATAGACCATTATACAGGAAATTTTATTTTCTMAGAACAGTAGAATATTGAGGTTTGTGTTTCTAATATACATTTATAAATATTTTAAAATAGAAAATGACAGATCTACATTTTGAAGTAGAAACTAGCTGTTGTGTGACGCATATCTTGAAACTACCTAGAGAAGGAGCCGGGAGCCTAATTGGGAGGCTATTGCAGTCTTTTGGAATTGGAAGAGTAATGACTTTGATTAGAGTGGGCATGTTGGAGGTGGTCACAAATTGTTAGACTTGAGATATATTTTGAAGATAGTCCTGATAGGATGAATACAATATGATTGAGCCAAGCAATTTAGGGGATTGGTGGGGGTGTTTATTTAAAGAAGGAGAACTGGTAGGAGAATAAGTTTGGGAGTTTGTGTTTTTTTTTTAGATTAAGATAGATGAGTGTTAATACTAATCAATGATACCTAGCCCCCTTGCCCACACATACACAACCTCACTACCAGGATCATTTTTGTTTTTTGAAGTTTGCTTTGTTTGAAATTTTAAATGTTTAGAAAGTTGCAAAAATAATATAAAAATTTCTGTTTTCCCTTCTCTCAGAGTCCCATAATATTAACATCTTATATAACCATAGTACAATAATTAGCAGGTCATTGTCTTAGTTACAGAACTCTTCAGTGTGTAGCTTTAACAAGTTTTACTCAATGACCTATTCCAGGTTCCACTCTGGGATCCAACATTACATTTAGTTGTAGTGTTTCCWCAATTGACTTTATTCTGTTGCAGCTCTTTAGTCTTTCCTTGAGACACTTGAAAAGTACTTGTCAGTGTTTTTGTAGATAGTTTGAGTTTGTAGAAGTTTTCTCATGATAAGGATGGAGTTGTGCATTTTTGGCAAGAATACCAATGAAGTAATATTGTGCCTTCTCAGTGCATTATTTTAGATAGTTGATAGTATGTATGTCATTGATAATAATATTGACATGTTAATGCAGTAAAATAATAGTAATATAACAGTATAATGTTCTGTTCATATTGATGGTGTTAAACTTGAGTGCTTGATGAAGGTGGTATTTATTAGCTTTAGTAAAGCTACCATTTCCCATTATAATTAGTATGTATCTTAGGGAAGGTACTTAGAGACTGCAAAGTTATATCCACTAATTTTAATATCATTGGTGAATCTTGTCTTCAACATGTATTAATTGAAATTCTTGTGTAATAATAGTTATGCCTTCTCCCCTATTTGTTTATGAAATTGTTGACATCAGTAGGGACWCATAKATTTTTTTAATTCTAGTTTTATAATAGAAAATTATTTACATTGTTCAAATTGTTACAGTTTAGGACCATAAGAGTTCCTTGCGCTTAGTTCCTGTGTCCTTTTGACATGCCCCCATTCTTTTTCGAGCTCTTCTCTGAGGAGCTGTGGTTCTTTTTATTAGAAAATGGTATTTAGAAACAAAGAGCTAGGCACTGGATGTGCTTATTGCTATTGGGATGTTATTCATTCTAGACTCAGCAGGCTGATCTAGGTAGGAAGCATGTTTATACCAAACCATATGTTATTACACATCTATGTTTCTATACCTGTATATGTATATATAGATATATATAAAACCAGGAGTTCATACTGATACTTAAGATTTTCAGTTTAATTCTACAAGGTTTGGTTTAGCTTTTCCTTATTTTTATTTTTTATTTTTTTGGTACCAGGGATTGGACTCAAGGGCACTCAGCTACCGAGCCACATCCCCAGCTCTTTTTAAATTTTTTATTCTGAGATAGTCTCACTAGGTTACTTACTAAATTGCTGAGGCTAGTTTTGAACCTACAATCCTCTTGCCTACACTTCCTAAGTCACGGGATTATGGGTATACATCACCCATGCTTTCTTCCTTATTTCTAATTATTTTCTTCCCAACTAACTCCCTTTAGTGTGGTTGTATTTATTTATTATACTGTTGGTAATTTACTATTACATTTTGGGYTTCCCTCATGTTCCATTTAATTTAAATTGTCTGTTTTTTGAATGTGTGAAACATTACTATGGTTCTGAGAGAGATAAACAAAAAGTTGTACCCAGAGACATTGATTACTAGAATCTTATTTGTTTTGTTTTGTTTTTATTTTTTGTTACTGGGGKTTGATCCCAGAGGTGCTTGACCACTGAGCCACATCCTCAGTCCTTTTTTGTATTTGATTTAGAGGCAGGGTCTTGCTGAGTTGCTTAAGGCCTCTYTAAGTTGCTAAGGCTGGTTTGTGATCCACCTGCCTCAACCTCTCGAGCCTCTGGAATTACCAGCATTCACCACTGTGCCCCCTTTGTTACCAGGTTTTAATGATAAATCTCATATATGTATGTATGTATGTGTGTGTGTGTATATATATCACAATACCAACATTTATTAAGCCCAACTGAATCATTACACTCTTGCTTCTTTTTCTTCTTAAAATTTTAAATTTATGTATATTTATAGCAAAAAATATATATAAATTTGCCAGTTTAACCAAACCTTTTTTTGTGTGTCTGGTGCCAGATCCTTGYACATGTTTGGCAAATACTCTGCCCCTGAGCCAAATCCCCACCTGCTTTTAAAATTTCATTTGGAGACAGAATCTTGTTAAATTGCCGGGCCTGGCCTTGAATTTGTGATTCTCCTGCCTCAGCCTTCCTAGTATTAAGGATTATAGGCACAGCTGTACCACTGTGCTAACCTAGTTTGGCCCTTTTTAAGTGTACTACTGAGGCATTTAGTATTTGTACATAGTATAGCCATCACTATCCTTCAAGTCCAGAACTTTTTTCATCTTCCCACATGGGAACTCTGCACCCATTAAACACTAACTCTTCATTTTCTCTCCCCGCACCCTCTGGTAAAAGCAACATTCTACTTTCTGTCACTGAATTTATTACTCTCAGAACCACATATATGAAGTATCATATAATATTTTTCCTATCATGACTGGCTTATTTCATTTGACTTAATGTCTTTAAGATTCATTCATGTTGGAGCATATGACAAAAATTTTCTTTGTTCCTTAGACTGAATAATATTCCATTCTGTGCATGTGCCACATTTATCTATTCATCCACATATAGACACTGGGGTTCTTCAGCTTTTTGCTATTATGCTGCTATGAATATGAGTATGCAGATATCTGCTTAAGTTCTTACCTTTGCTTCTTTTGGATATATACCTAGAAGGCAAATTACAGGATCATAGGGTAATTCTGTGTTTAGTATTTTGAGGAATTATTATGCTGTTTTTCATGGTGGATGTACCATTTATATTCCCATACTCTGTTTCTTATATCCTGTTAATCTAACTGTGGGAGGATCTTTAAAATCTTTTTAGTCATTCTGCTTTCCTTGAATGTCTTACATAAGTCAAACACTTCCTATTTAAGTGAAGTTTAAATATTATGTATACTTGCATAGCCAATGCTGAAATATGTTAAATTACAGATATCTTCAGAAGTTTATTTGCTACTTTGTGTATAGCCTTTAGGACATAGCAACTCATTTAAAATATGAAAAAATATAGACTGTTAAGGCTTTTTAAAAGAAGTTTTAAAATATCCCTTACAAATTATCTTAAGAGAATCCTGTCCATCTTATTTGGCTAAGTTCTGTTGCATTTTTTTGGACACAGGTAAGGTCAATGATAAATGAKATGTGATAGATAGTTCTTTCACCTGAAGAGGTGAAAGGTCAGTATTCTCTTTATGAAAACATACATGTAAGTTTGCAGAGAAAGCTATATTTGGAATTTTAGTCCTAACTCAGCTGATAACTAGTATCATTTACATATCTGAAATGAGCATGCTGGTTTCCCTGCTCTCTGAAGATCTTTTCCATCATAAAAAAATGTAATTTTAAGCCTATGAAATTAATTTGTTTAAATGTAAACATTTACTATTCATTTTGAAAGAGTAGGGATTAAAAAGGATATGCCAAACTTAATCATATTGTCTCCAAATAACTTCATCTGGGGACTGGGAATGAGGAAGTGGTAAGTTACAATTTTGATTTTTTAAAACACTTTAATGTACATTATTTAGATTTTTGTATTAATTTTATTTTAGGGGAAAATAACACAAAATAAAACTCTTATTATTCTCTCACATTTGAATGKTGTACTATTATCTGTTTTAACTGTAGAGCTCTACCCTTTCTGGAGGCAAACATCATGGTCCTGTTGAAGCTTTGAAACAAATGTTATTTAATCTTCAAGCAGTACAAGAAAGTTTTAATCAGAATAGAACTACAGATCCAAAAGAAGAGGTAAAAGTAAGCAAAAACTTGACTTATAAATTGAGATCTGGGCTGCTATTCTATAGGGGATGAATTTTCTTCATAAAGGTATAGTTTTTAAAGTCTGAATTCTAATTCTGCCACTTACTAGCAAGTAGAACATTTGTACATATCATTTCGCCTCCTTAGTTTCAGTTTTAATATTTTTTTAATTGACAAATAAACATTGTGTATATTTTTGGTGTACAACATGATGCTTTAAAATATGTACACACTGTGGAATGGTTAAATTGAGTTAATTGACATATATTACCAACACTTAAAATATACTGCCAATAATTTTAAGTGTGCAGTGCATTATTATTAACTATAGTTACCATGTTGTACAGCAGCTCCCTTGAATATATTTCTCCTAATTAAATTTTGTATTCTTTGACCAACATCTTCCTATCTACCAACTACCAGCCATTGGTAACCACCATTTTACTCTACTTCTGTTAGTTGGACTTTTTGGATTCCACATATAAGTGAGATCATGTAGCATTTATCCTTTTGGACCTGAGGTTGTTGAGAAGTTGAAACAAATGATATAAAGTACTTAATATAGTGCTTTGCAGCTGGTAAATACTCAATAAACGTTAGCTTTGTTTTGGTTGTCATTGTTTTGTTGTTATTAGTCAATAGAGTTTTATGAAATTCAGTTTTAAATTTTTTTTAGTTGTAGATGGACACAATACCTTTATTTTATTTTATTTTTTTAATATTTGTTTTTTAGTTGTTGATGGATCTTTATTTTATTTATTTGTAYGTGGTGCTGAGAATCGAACCCAGTGCGTCACGCATGCTAGGCAGACTCACTACCATTGAGCCCCAACCCCAACCCCAATACCTTTATTTTATTTGTTTATTTTTGTGTGGTGCAGAGGATCGAATCCCATGTCTTTACCATTGCGTTACAACCCCAGCCCTGAAATTCAGTTTTTAATGAGTGGATCAGCTCTTGAGAACTACTACAACCTATTCATTTGAATTATATTTTAAAATTTTTCTCCCAGCATTCTAATACTCATATTAACATACAGAGTGTAACCCTGCTTCTTTCCCTTCCCCTTTTAAGCATCATTGAGATACCACCTTATTCAGTGAAGTTGTAATTTGAGGCAAAGATTTAATTTTTAATGGATGTAGAATTTTTTCTTTTTAAATATTTGTTTAGATATTGGTGGGCCTTTATTTTGTTCATTTATTTGTATGCAGTACTGAGAATTGAACCCAATGCCTCACACATGCTAGGCAAGTGCTTTACCACTGAACAGCAACCCTAGCTCCTGGATGTATAATTTTTAATGTATAATTGAAAGATGAATCTAAGTGGTAGTTGTATTTTTAAAATAAAGGAAAAATAAAAACATTTAATGCTCTCTTAACTTGATGGTAAAATTAATTCTTGAAAATGGAGAAAATATATTTTTCATGTTTTTAATCATATTTTAATAGCATTTAATTTTGAAATTTAAAAAAAATATTTTTTTTTTGCTTTTTGGTGTTTAATAATAGATTTCAGAGGATGATTTCTCTAAATTACAATTGAAGGAAAGTATGATTCCTATTACTAGGTCTCTTCAAAAGTAAGTATTCTTTACTAATATGGATACAAATTCAACTTAATCGACAGTCCTTTGACCAAAATTAGGATGGAATTAAGTAGTTTCAAAAATAGATGCATAGTAGGCATATTTAAGCTTCTTAGAAAAACATTTTCTGTTAAATCTGTTATTTCCTGTTTAAAATGTTCTAAGGACCTAATGAGATATCCTTAGACACTTAAAATATAACAGATATGAACAGCTCACTTTCTCTTTTAATTTCTGAGTAATAGCAATAATTTGAGATAGTATGTGTGGATATCCTATAATAATAACTTGTGAAATGAATTTTTATATAGTTTGTTTAGAATACATGTAATAGCAACCAATATATCATTATTTGACATCTAAAATTATATACAAAGTGTATATAAAGTATAATATTTGAATATAAAGATACATCTAAATTTCTTAGTTAAATTCTCTAATATAAAAGTGAAGAATATAAATCTTTTCTATGGTTATGATATTGACAAAAGAGAAAGCTCTTTATGAATTTGGTTGTGTGACCATGAAGTGTCCTCAGAAGATAGAATTGCTGAGTTGAAGTTTAAGAAATAATAAGATTAAAAATTTTTCTCTTGTAACTTATTTCAAAACTTGACTATAAGTGAAGCTAACTAAATGTTTCCTACCTTTTTTTATTTTCAAAATTTGCTTAGGATTCTGTTAAGTAAATAAGTAGTGGAAAAGTATAAACATAAGATGTGAACTTAGGACTCTAATTATATACATGTTTGCTAGAAATAATGCTTCTTTCTTTGTAGCTTGTCATTGTACTTGAATATGGTGTTTTATACTTAGTAGAAATCAGTGTGTAATGACGGGTACATTTATTGAATATTTGAATGTTCTAAGTGCTATTGAGTATAATTCATTCAATCCTTAAGACCCTATGAGGAAAGTACTATTTTTGTCTTCATAATATAGATCACGTAATTGTTATAGAGTATTAATAAATAAACTTGCCTCAAGGTTGCAAAGCTAGTAAGAAGTAGCATTGGGACTCAGAGTAGGCAGTCTGGATTGAAAACCTATTTCTAACACTAATGATAGCATAAATTGTTCATGGAGAATAGGACCTTAGCTGATCATCTAGGATGAAGACATCATTCTGCTTTAAATTTTGAAGTGAATGATTTCAAGCTTTTCATTGCTGTTAAAAAYATTGATATTGTACTTGTGTTGCAGACCCAAGTGTGTTTTCTGAGATAAAGTACGTATCTTAAGAGATCTTTTTCTTGGTTAAAAATAAACACTGGGCTGTAAGTCACCATAAAAACTGATACTGATCTGTATGTGCTTTTACAGTGTGCTACCTACAAAATTCTACTTTTAAGGAGAACAAAATTCATGTTTTGTTAGATTGCATTTAGTTGTTGATTTTGTTGGGATAACAGGAGCAATCTTAAATTTGAAAAGTTTTGACAGTAAAGAATTTGAACTGTTAGGAAGTAAATTCAGATGTTCAAAAGTGTGTCAGTATATTTTTCATTGTTTTTAGTCTGTAAATTGACTTTTTAAGGGTAATTAAAAATTAAATTCAATTCCAGAATTATTCTTTCTAGGTTGCAAAGTATTCTGGTTAGGTATATGGTCATCTTTTGCATGTTTTATGGTTAGGATAATACTACACTATTCACTCATATTGGAGAAGTCATTGATTTTCCTCCTACTCAATAAAAATGTGTTTTATTCACAACTGTAACTGACCTTAAAAGTGCTGTGTCTTGTTAAGTATGATACAAATGATATGTTATTCTTTCTTCTTAGGTTACTTGGCAGATTAACTTAAAAATTGAATGTCAAAAATACAATTTCTAAATAAATGTTTATTGAAGATTAGGAAATTATTTTAATCCTCAAATATTCAGATCTCAAAAGTTTTATAAGGAATAGTTTTCAGTAGTTTGATATTCATATTATTCTCTTGAGTTCATTTTTTCTACTAATTTTGAAGTTAATAAACAATGTAAATCACCCTTTCTTGCTGTCTTCATTGGCTATTCAGTCCTTAATGTTGGTTTATAACGTATTCTATACTTTTTAATGAAGGGCCTTGCACCACTTATCTCGCCTGAGAGACCTGGTTGATGATACCAGTGGGAAACAGTCACCGAAAATGTGAAGAAGAAAATAAAATTGTCACC